CAGATATGTTTGGTTTAGCACAAAACCAGCATAAGACAGTGGCTGATATGTGGAGTCATCAAGGATGGGAAATCGCTCTAAGAAGACAGTTGAATGACTGAGAGATAACAAGATTAGCTGACCTTTACAAGGAGCTGGAAGCATTTACAGGATTACAGGAAGGTTTGGATTCAATATGGTGGAAGAGGCATAACAGAGGGGTTTACCGAGTGAAGGATGCATATAAGATTTTGAATCATAATAACCAACTGGTAGACACATGGCCTTGGAAACATATATGGAAAACAAAAATTCCATACAAGGTAGCTTGCTTCACTTGACTAATAGCAAAGGAGACGGTTTTAACCCAGGATAATCTTATAAAAAGAGGAATTTCTCTGTGTTCAAGATGTTTTCTGTGTGGGGAAAATGCAGAAACTGTCACCCATTTGTTTCTACATTGCAAGATTACAGACCAACTATGGAGAATCTTTATTAGTCTTAGGGGTATTTCATGGTCAATGCCATATAGGCTTAAAGATGTCCTTTATAGCTGGAAGAAGCTGGAGCTGAAGCAACTAGTAGAGACAGATGGAGGACTGTACCGGCTTGTATTTGGTGGACAGTTTGGAGGGAAAGGAACACTAGATGTTTTGAAGATAGAAGCAATCCAGTGCAGAAGATCAAACTCAATTGTATTCTTCTTTTTTGTTTTTGGTGCAAACAGATGTACACAGAAGATACATTGACTATCATAGACATACTAGGATCTTGCTAGGTCTCAAATTAGAACATCTCCAATTCCTTCCCATGTAAATTTGGTTTTCAGTGCAACCTATGTACTGATATTTATAATATATATAATAGTTACCAATTCAAAAAAAAAAATTAAAACCTTAATAACTTACATACAAGAAAACAAAAATGGTTATCCTACTGCTGCAGATGACTTGTATCGCACATTTGGCTGTGTTGAGATTAGCCAATTTCAGAAGATTTATTCTTTCTAAGATTGTTTAGTAATTGAGTGAGATTAACAGGGACTATAACACCAAACAAAAGAATATTAGTAGATACCCAAACCATTCTTGCTTCTCTTAGCCAATCATTTGCACCTCCGTTTTCACAACCATAGATTCGTCTAAGATATCTTTATTAGGTTCCAAGTCTTAGGTTTATGGCTTCAGTAGTTGTTTACAAAAAGGTACGTACTTCATTTGTTTCTCCTAATGTATACACCACCAGCTACCCTGGTTGGTTGAATGTGAAACTAATCTTTTTCTCTCAACTCTTTTGGATCACACCTAGGATAACCTATGTATGTTGGGTGGTTTTAGCTTCTTTGGTATAACCTTGCAATCCTACACCAAGGACGCATCTTTTGCAATCTTACACCAAGGTATAACCTTGCAATCTTTCTTTTGTTCTACCCAGAAAGAATGTTTGGCATATCAGCCCTCCTCCATTCGCTCTAGCTGAAAAACCCCTCTCAGTAGACTAAGAAAGCTCAAACTTCATTCGCTCTAGCTCCTCCTCCATCTTCTTAAGTCGAGAATTATGAGTCGTCCTATCGAAATGCTCTTTCTCAACCTTGACTTTGCCGGCTTCCACAAGACCCCTCAGCTCCAAATTCTCCCCATCATAACGACTGGTCCGCTCTGAAATCTAGAAAGACATCACGTGGGCCTGGATGAACAAAGGGAAAATCACTTGAACATTGAAATCAAAGAAAAATGCAAGACTTAGTGTAATAAAAAGATCTTACCCGGAGAATACAGCTCGATATCACTACAACTTGAGGATGGCATCTTTTCCGGCCCAGGGGCGGATTTACCCTGGTTAAATTAGTCAATTTTTTTTATTAAATATATTTATAGCAGTAATCTGCTAAAGAAAAAACGCGTACAAGTAAAATAAAATGACACCACTATGTCAAAGCAAGCTAATTGGTTCATGGGTTAATTCCCTGAAATGTGAGGCAGAGGTCGGGAGTTCGAAGCTCAGCAGCTTCGTTCCTTTCCTTTAAATTTTCAAGCAACACGTTTCTCTTTTTCCAGAAGCAGCGTACTTTTTATATATTAATTAGAATTAGATGCATTGTAGGATACAATTACTCATCCAAATTGTGTAGGGAAAAAGATAACTAAACTACTTTTTTTTGTGTAGGAAAAGGATAATAAACAATATAAAATACAATTGGAACTCAATTATTTTAGACCTACTTTTTGGAAAAATATAGTCATTGAAATTGCCGAAATTGCTTGCCTTGAGTTGTTCTACTACTTTTAGTTTTTCTCTTTTTTTTTTTCTTTTCTAATTGGAATTTCTTCAAACATATATTACTTTTCTTTTTGAGTTAATTTTTGTGCAATTTACAGGGTTATCTAATTGATGTTTTGATTTATAATTCAGCTTAAATTCCAATGAAGAGATTTTATTCTGTAGTACCTTCCGAGCCTTCAAAACAAGGATCAACATCTCAAAGTTCATCTAACTTGGAAGAAACGACCGATGAGTCAGAACAACGTCCACAAAGTGAAGTAGTTAATTTGGATTCTTTAGAGACTAATCCGGCTAAAAGATTAGCAATTCGAAAATATCATCTAAATGACCGTGATGCAGTAAGAAGAAGATATATTCAACAAGGTCCTTGCCGATCTCGAAATCACAATTTCCCTCAAAGAAATTTTTATGGGCAATTGCACCGCTTTAATCCTCGATGGTTTGTTGAGTACGATTGGTTGGAGTATAGCATAACAAAAGATGCGGCATATTGCTTCTATTGTTATTTGTTTCAAGATGAATGTATTAATCAAGGGGGAGGAGATGTATTTTCAAGCATAGAGTTTACAAGTTGGAACAAGAAGGATAGATTTGTCGTGCATATTAGTGGACCAAACAACATTCATAATCAGTCAAGAAGGAATTGTGAAGATTTGATGAGACAAAATCAATCCATTCAAAGTGCACTTGCTAAACAATCTGAACAACAAAAGTTAGAATACCGAACTCGTTTAAAAGTTGCAATTGATGTGATAAGATATCTTTTGAACCAAGGATTATCATTTCGGGGACATTGTGAATGTGAGTCATCTTTTAATAGAGGTAATTATATTGAACTTCTTACATGGTATGCAAAGCGATGTAAAATATTGATGATGCGTTTAAAAAAGCTCCAAAAAATAACCAATTGACTTCTCCATCTATTCAAAAGGATATTATCACTGCATGTAAGATGGAAACAATTAAGAGTATCATTAAGGATATAGATGATGATCACTTTTCTATCTTAGTTGATGAATCACGTGATGTGTCATGTAAGGAGCAAATGACTACTGTTCCGCGTTACGTTGATAGAAGGGGAAGCGTGATTGAGCGATTTATGGGTATTGTTCATGTTCGTGATACTTCTGCATTGTCTCTAAGGAATGAAATTGTTAATTTACTTGCTCAACATTCTTTAAGTCCATCTTCTATACGTGGACAATGTTATGATGGAGCAAGCAACATGCAAGGTGATTTAAATGGTCTTAAGATCTTAATGCAAAAAGAAAGTAGAGGTGCTCATTCTATTCATTGTTTTGCTCATCAACTTCAATTAACTCTTGTTGCGATTTCTAGAAGATGTGATCAAGTACAAGAACTTTTATTATTGCTTTCCGATATATTGAATATGGTGGGATCTTCTTTCAAGCTTAGAGATGAACTTCGTGAATCTCAAGCAGAAGAAATAGAAGAGGCATTACGTAAAGGGGAGCTTGAAACTGGTAAGGGTTTGAATCAAGAATTGGGTCTTGCTAGAGCTGGTGATACTCGATGGGGATCTCATTATAAATCCTTTAATAATTTTATTATTATGTTTGGCCCTATTATTGATGCGCTTGATGCTATTGCTGTTAACGAACGTTTTGAAGAGAAATGTAAGGCAAAGGGATATCTTAAAGCATGTTTAACATTTGAAGTTGTCTTCACGTTGCATTTGATGCGTACAGTTTTAGAAATCATAAATGAGCTTAATGCAGCCTTTCAAAAGAAGGAGCAAGATATTGCAAATGCCATGCTACTTGTTGGAGTGACAAATGATCATTTGCAAACATTGAGAAAAGAAGGTTGGAATTCACTTATTGATGAGGTATCTAAATTCTGTATAAAATATGATATTTTTATACCCAAATTTGATGAGCTTTATGTTATCCCTGGAAGATCACGTCGTAGAGTTTCTGAGTACACTATTTCGCAGCACTATCGTGTTGAGGTATTTTGTAAAATTATTGATTGGCAATTTCAAGAACTCAATAATCGCTTTGGTAAGGTGACAACTGATTTGCTTCTTGGAGTTGCTTGCTTGAACCCAACTCACTTATTTTTTTTTCCAATTTTGACATTGAGAAGATATTGAGATTAGCTAAGTTATATCCTGATGATTTTGATAAATATTCAATGGTTGACCTTCGCTTTCAGCTTCAGAATTACATTGTTGATGTCCGAGATCATGATAAAAGGTTTTCTGGTCTTAAGGGACTTGGTGATCTTTCCATAAAACTAGTGGAGACAAAGAAGCATGGGACTTATCCTCTTGTTTTTCAACTAGTGAAATTTGCTTTGCTTTTGCCAGTTGCTACTGCTACAGTTGAGAGAACTTTTTCGGCAATGAAGTTGATAAGACCGATTTGCGGAGTCGAATGGATGATGAGTTTTTTAGTAGTTGTTTGGTGCCTTATATAGAAAAGGATGTATTTAGTGTTATTCCTAATTCGGTTATTATGAATACCTTCCAAAAATATGAAAACTCGTCGAGGAGAGTTGTAGTAAGGTAATTATTTTTAAAATATGATGTCGTTACTATATTTATTTCTTTGTCTACTTTAAATGTCGACACCACTTATGAAAAATCCTGCGTACGCCCCTGTTCTGGCCCCGACAAATCCACTCCCTAAGAACCTCTATGTAACACAAAGCTTACCGCCATTTTTGGAGGAACCGTCTCGGGAAGGAGTTGGAGTAGGGGTGGGCATATATCGGGTAAAACCGATAACCCGAACCATTATTTATTTATTGGGTTATCGGTATTGGGTTATTGGGTTAACGGTTTGGTAACAGATTAATTTTTTTTATTGGGTTATCGGTTCGGGCTCAATTTTGCAATTCTGTTATTGGGTAAAATCGATAACCCAATAAGTATTAACTAATTTACTAGTTTACCCTTAAGTATATACATACTAGGGTTTCATAATTCATAGTTCACTCTTTAATTTCCCTATTCTTTCTCAGTTTCTCCGCCTCACGCCCTCACCAATCAGCTTGTCAAGACTCAGGCCGGCGTCAGTCGCATCACGCCCTCACCAATCAGCCCGTCAAGATTCAAGCCAGCGTCAGTCGCATTTCTCAGCTTCTTTCTTTCATTCTTCAGTCGCATCTTCACTTCATTTCTCAAATCAATCAGATTCTTCAGTCGCATTTTCATTTCACTCTTCAGTCGCATTTCTTAGCTGCATTCTTCAGCTTCATCTTGATTCTTCGTGTAAATTTTAGTTGCTTCATCTTCATCTTTTTCTTAGTTTGTTTGAAAGCATTCTGGCTCTGGATTTTTCTTAGTTTGTTTGAAAGCTGAAGTGAGATTTGTCGTGTGCTTTAATTGTTGAGCTGTTACGAAGTTATCTTGTGTCAGTTATCATAAAATTTGTATTTCATAACTAATAAACTTGTATTTGTTATTCATTTAGATCCCTTGTGTTTGCAGAAAGTGTCGAAGTAAAAATATGACTAATATTCTGTTTTTCATCACTGACTGATATTGGGATTTTTGTTTATATATTTTGGGTTAAGAATGAAGGATATAAACTTTGGTTAGTGTTTATTTTATTGGATGTTGCAGTAAATTTAAATTCTTGTGAAATAGAACAGTTCTGAAAAGAGTTTTAGCAAAACAGTTCTTAAAATCTTATAAAATTGTTTTAGCAAAAAAGTTTTATACATTGCGAAACTGTTTTAGTTGTTTTATCTTATCGGGTAAACCGATAACCGAACCGATAATGATCGATAACCGATTAACCGATAACCAATAACTTATCGGTTTGGTTATCGTGTTATGATATTTGTAAACCGATAACCGATAATATTCATAACCGAACCGAACCGACCGATGCCCATCCCTAGGTTGGAGCTTCCATAGTTGCGGATGGAATTGGGATTATCGGTGCCATATCGAAGTTAAAGGCGTCGGGGCCACAATAACTTATGCCGAACACGTCTAAACAACTCAAAATCACCTCAAATTTTGCACACAAGTTCCAAATGACACATAGAACCTATTCTAACTCACGGAACAAAAATCTAAACCTTATAACATCGAAGTCAACAACCGGTCAAACCAATGTACTCTCCAAACTTTCAAATTGCCAACTTTCGCCAAATAGAGCAAAAATCTTCTAAAACCAAATGCAAATCTGGGCATATGCCTAAGTCCAAAATCACAATTCGGGCCTAACAGAACCATCAAAACTTCGATCCGAGGTGAAATATACAAAAGTCAAACTTGGTTGTCTCTTTCAACTTAAATATTCCAAATTGAGAATCATTCTTCCAAATTAATCTTGAACCACTCGAAAACCAAGACCGACCATTCACGCAAGTCATAATACATCATATGAAGCTACTCAAGACCTCAAACCACCAAATAGAATGTAAATGCTCAAAATGATCGGTCGGGTCATTATATCTCAACATAACTTTGCTGCAATGCGTGACCTAATTCAAATGGCGGTCCACATGGATTACCCATTGCCCAATTTCTCATACTTACCAAACACGTGTATAACAACACCAATCACGCGAAGCGCATGATCATAACCATGAAGAAATGGATAGCACAATATTCCACCAATAGGAAGACCATAACCGAGGCACCACCAACCATTCAATACCGCAAAAGCCATCTCGCTCGAGTTCCTTCATAAGGTCGAAACAGAACTGCAGTATGTGTGTAAGTAGTCAACAGTCTCACAACCTCTTGTGGCATAAAAGAGTAACACATGAAACATATCAGCCACGAATAAGATCAACCCTAGACGAATGACACCCCTCAACAATAGCCGTGCTAAGTAAACAAATTCAACCCAATGCAAAATACACATCCTTATTAGGCCTGCCAGTGGCCTCCAAATAAATTTCGATCCTCCCTTAATACGTAGATGACCCCCGAAATGTCCACAATAACATATCCATAACATAGACTCAGTCGTCAACCTCTTTACATACATTCACAGTCCGCAATCAAGGAACAATCTGCCTTTAAGAACCCTTCTGGTCTTCAAACCCCTAGAATTAGGGGTGGCATAATACCGACCGAACCGAAAAAATCGGTCGAACCAAAAATTTTGATTTTTCGATTTATTCGATCGTTTTGCGGTTTATAGTTTTAAAAAGTTCGGTGTTCGGTTCAGTGGTCGGTTTTAATGGTTTGGTTTTTGGTTTAACAGAAAAATCGAAAAAACGAATTTTGGTAGAAGTGGCCGGTAGACTTTGTCCACTGCAAGGCATCATTGTGTAGAGAAAGAAAGTGAATCAAGACATTAATAATGCATTATTCCCACACGCATTGATCGGCTATTATGTTGACACATTTTAGGAAATGTGAATCCTTGATAATGTGGTGCTGTAAAACTGTAAAACAGGAGACCGTTTCCATTGATTTTAGCTTAACTAGTCCTTTTTTTTTTTGTTTTTTACCAAAGAAAATATTCAATTTCTTAAAATAATCGTATTATAGTTAAAGATTTAATGTGGCTCGTTATCTTTGAAAGGGAAATAAACTTCAAAAGACAGGTAAAAAGATTAATTACACTAACATCTCAGATAACTGTACATAGTATTAGTATATAATTTACTGTTTCATTTGTGTTTTTTTTTTTGAAAGCTTTGAAGTGATAAGCAGAAATAAAGTAGGCAAAAATACCTTAAACCACCCCTAAACTTGACTTAAATTATTAGTATCTTCCCCGAACTATGCCCGGTCTTAACTACCCCCCTCAACTTGGCCTTTTGAGAGCCATTACCCCCTTAGACGGTGATGTGGCAAAAAGTGTGGGTGCACTCGTCTGCCACGTGGATTTTTCTGTATATATGCCTTTTTTTTGGAAATAAAAAATATTTTTACCTTTTTAAGAATATTACTTTTTTAGATAATTCTTTTCGAATATAATTTATAATAAAACTTGGATAGAACTACATTATTTAGGCTAAATATTTTTATTTTGCAAAAAATAATAAAGTTTAGTTAAATCTTTTTTTTTTTTGAATTTGATCTGAAATAAAGATTTATACAATTGAAATAAATAGTCAAGTCATCAAAAAAGTTATAAAAAATACATAGTTTGAAATTAATAATTTTGGGTATAATTTTTTATATAGCTCTAAATTACGGTGCTCTAAAAATATTTTTTTTTACAGATTTTACCTAAAAAGGTAAAAATACACAGTTGAAATAAATAGTCATTACATAAAAAAAAGAAATTGTTTACCGTGAAAATAGTAACAACAATTAAATTTGTAAATGAGATTCTAAAAATATGTGATATATTCCCAAGCTAGTTTTTAGGGCAGTCGATGCCAGAAATGCTAAGTGTAAAGATAAGATACGAGTTAAGACGAAACAGTAAGCTAACCGAAGGGGCCTGTTGTCCGAACGCAGAGTAGATCGATGGAGGCCTCGGGGCCGAGGTTTGAGCCGGGATCGAGCTATCGGGGACAGTCGGGGAAGGGATAACAAGCAGAAATACGATTAAGTAAGGCTCTTTATGGCCAATGTATAGCTAGACGGGCAGAACAAATAAGAAACAATAGATGCGAGGTGGCCTCGGGCCAATAAAAACAAATGACTTAGAAGAAAAGAGAGAGAAAGATATTATTGCACTTGTGGAGAAATGGAGCAACTTGCTTTACAAGGTAGGGCGAGCCCTTTTTATATAGGAGGAACGACTCGATCATAAACGTGTGGAGACAAAACATAAAGTACGGAGATGGGATGGCTTGATGTGATACCTCAGCACAGGCTCTGGATAGGCCGGCCTTTGTCAGGTCGAGTCGTGTGATTCGGGAACTTCCCCCTTGGTTGTTACAACATGTTGTATTAGTCGAAATGCAACACTTTCCGGATCAGTTTGAGGCGAACCTTGAGGGTGAGTCTTGACCTTATCTTCGAGCTTAGAAGGTCATGACCGCGAGATAGCCCTATGTCGGGGAATCCGGCCCCCCAGATTTACCGTACACAGATAGTCTCCGCGTTTTCCAAAGTAAGGGCGACGCAAAGCGATGAGAAACGGTTCTGAACTCTTGCTTCCTGCGGCGTCTTTGCGAGCGGCTATGGGCCGCCAGCGCATGCAATGTGTGTCATTACTGCGGATTTCAACATTGACCAGAGCGGTTAGCCTCCTTTAATGTACCCATGATGTTCTTATAAATATTCGCCTCTCCCCTTTCGAGTCTTATCTTGCACCCAGAACCCTATAGTGAAGTTTGTTTTCCCTTGACTTTCGCTTCTCTTTTTAGGAGTGTGACTCCCCTCCCTTTCTTATTCTCTTGGACTTTCTCAAGGATGGCGAATACTTCAACTGCTATTTCTGAGGAGATCGCGGGCTCGTCTTCTTCGTTCCTTTCCCAAGGTGAAGTGACCGCTCCGCCTCGCATCGAGGAATATGTCCCAGGGCCTTTTGCGATGACATCAGATTTCAGGGTTAAGAGACCCTCCTCGAAGTCAGGGAGCCGCGAGCCGGTAACTCGATATGTCTGCTCCATAACAGATGTCGAGAGAGTGAGGGCCGATTGTTGCTGGGGGGATGCCGTGCTTGTGGAGATTCCTGCTCAGGATGAAGACATCACTGCTCACAGGGCCGGTTTTCTGAGCGTGTACACCTATCCATTCACTTTGGGGCCGGTTGGACCGTCTTTGTCCTCGATTGACCCGGTGATTCTTGAATTTTGCCGGAGTTACCAGGTGACTTTGGGTCAGATTCATCCTTCGTTCTGGTGCGTGGTATATATGATTAGGCATTACTCGGGCATGGTGAAGGGAATGCGCTTCACTTTGAATCATTTGATCCAAATGTATAGTCCTCGTCTCCTTCGCGGGGGATTAATCAGGCTTTGCTGCCGAGCCCCGAGATCCCTTTTTGCATGTACTGAGAAATTTGGGGATGATGGATGGTTGAGTCGGTTCATCCGGGTGAAGACGTCTGATTTGATCCCAGTGTAAGGGATGCCGTTCCTTGAGAAGTGGAACGCCGGGCGTAAGTGAATGCGGGGCCTTTATTTCCCTTTGATGTTTTCACTTTATGTCCCTGATTCCGTTGTTTCTTTCCCTTTGTTTTTTCAGTCATAACAATCTATCCTGAGCGGTGACGGATCTTCAGAGTTGGGTTGACCATTTGTACTCAGTCTGCCCGTACAACAATCGCACGTGGCGGGATTTATCTCGGGCCCGATAGGAAGCAAAAGACCATGGTGAGTTCTGAGCTTTGATGCATCCGCATTTTTTA